CGTTTGCGTGAAAAGTGTTTGAAGGACTTCTTCATTGAAGAACGTAACCATTTCGAATCCATACCGGAATATTCATTAGTCATGCTATTTTCAATACTCTCCGACATTGCCGCCAATCCATTGATGCATCTCATGGTAGCGCTCAGAAATGTGGAGTTTGCTGAAGATTTCTTTCCTAAGCTGAATTATAAAAAATTATATGAGAATCTCTGCGAAAATAATATGCTGAAGTTGAAAGTACAAGCCAAGAACTCGCGCAGTCTGGTGGGGTTAGATGCAGTTGAGGATGAACCTGCGCTCATGGCAGATGAAGGCGCGAAGGGTTTGATTGGCATGAAGCAACATCGCGAGAAGACCAAAGGAAAATTGAGACGGAAAACGCATGTGATGAGACATAACATTGAAATAAAAAAGAAACAGGAATATGAGAAGCGACGGTTTTCTGAGGAGTCTATTGACGTTGAGGTAAGTGAAATGCTAATTATCATTTGTTGAAAATATAAATTTGTTCGCTGGTAGATTTAAGAAATTATGACCCCTTCCTATGTCATGTCGTTGGCTGAGTCCAATATACGCTGGTTTCCGCTCACGGGGGAACATCCCAAGGGGTTAGTGGTCAGGTCAGGTTCCAGCTTGACGGAAGGGTCGGTGGAGGGGTATTTTCCAGGCAGCTGTTGAGTGCGCTGGCGGTAAGGAAAGTTAACATCTACTTAGACAGCCAGGCCGTACGCTCTAAGTATGTTGGGCAATGCCTTAACTGCTTTGCTTGCGATAGCGTCAGATTATAGCTGTGTTACACTTTTATGTGCGGCTGATGAAATGAGTCGGAGCTCTCACGACTACTTGTGGACTTTTCTTGGAAAGATGGGCTTCGAGTCAACTCAGCGAACGCTGAGGGAATAACCAGCTCCTTAAGCTTGCGAAGCCGGATATCTGGATTCTGGTGGATGTACTGACTGGCCACTGTGCTATCCTATAGAATAGTAGTGTAATCTACATTTCGCAGACCTCTCGCGAAAGCTTCCAGAACCTTTGTGTGACCAAATCTGGAATCTATCAGCGTTTTAATTTCACCTTAACTTTGCTGCATTACATAGGTCTAATTGAAGACAGTGTGAAGAAGAGTATTTTATATTTTCTCGTAAAAAGTTCCATCTCGATCCTGGTCGGGTGGACACTGAGTCTACACTACTTAGACTATATATTTTGAAGGATGAGGCCTTTTTAGCAGCTCGGATAGGACTTACAGGTTCTTTCCCGTTTTTATAACTGCTATATATTTATCATACGCTATGACCTCGCCACCAATGTGCCATTAGATTTAAAAGGAGCTAAAGAAGTTCTACCTGTCCTTTTACCAGCAGTAGGAATTTAGCTACAAATTTCGACCGGGTCAGATTCGTAGGCAGTGCTGTCGGGAAGTGCTTTTTGAAGATGTACTTAATCTCCCATCCCATTCTTTTCTCTCAAATTTATTTTACGCTGTCATTTAAGTAACTCTCACTTTCCGCTTTGCAGTTCTTTTTTTGCCGGAACCTCAAAAATTCTCAACCAACGCAACTCAATCAGGGTGTTGAAAATTTACGACGCACAAATATACTCGAAATCTTTATCGATCATGTCATAGCGATGACTGAGAAGGCACTGGAGTTTCGTGTGCTATATTTGGCAAAAACTTTCTTGGCGCAAGCAAAACGACTTTGCAAATTCTACAACAACTATGGCTGCGATATGGGTGCAAAGGAGTATCTTACAACAATCGATAGTGTGGAACAGGAGATCAGCGGATTGCAGATGAACGAAGAGTTTACGCATTTACCGCCGGCTTTGCCGATTCGTTCAAGTGTTGAAACTGGCAAAATTAAGGGCACAAAGGAGATATTCGAGCATTTGGAGTGTGTGCGCAGAACTGTAAAGGTGGATATTGAAACAAGTAATTGTGAAAAGGAGGTAGGCAAAGTGGTGAGCAAAAGTAAAAGCAGCAACAATACGCTGGAAGAAAATACAGACCGCAAGAACAATGGAGGTTCACACAAGTCCACAAAGTTCATCGAGCACGTAGAACAAGCAGCAGAGTGCGACACCAATCAGATAAAAAATCCTGAGAGTGCAAATGTTGTTGGCATTTTACGATTCAACTCCGAAGTTACAGAAATATACCAGGCTGCAAATGCTGCTGAGCAAAATAAATCCAGCGAGTCGTATGTGGACTACGAATCTATCAAGGGCTATCATTTTGAAGATAATACAACACCTAGTCATATGGAAAACCATGCTTTAAAGGAAGCATCTGATAAAACTCCATTCGAGATAGAGAATCAAGGCGAATCGAGTCAAGGTAGCGTTGCGTCAACAGCCAACGAAGAGGCGAAATGCATGCAATTTGGTACAAGGCCTCGTATGCTGCGAAATCTACCATTGAGCAATTCGCAAATGATAAAAGATCTTACAGCATCAACTGAAAAACTATTAGCAACAATGTCATCGGAAGAGAAGCGTCTGCAGATAAGAGAAAATATCAAACGGAAAACATTGCAACTGAAAGGCGCTTTCATTCAAAGCTCAGAATCGTGATATTCAAGATAAATAAAGAAATACATGTCTGATAAAAAAAAAACATCTACGCTAACTTATTTGCATACATTTATAATTGTCTTTTATTAATAGGTATTAGAGGCAGCAATATCGTAATGTCTCTCTTTCTTTCTTTGCGTTTACAATCAATTATTATTTCAAAGTAATGGTCAGCAGATAATAAATCTTTTGATGTGCAGGTAACTCAACTGTTGGTATGGGTAAAATTCGCGTCAACCCAGCAGTAAATTTGTAACTGCTTCCTTTTGGGACTAATAAGAGATGAGAGATTCGAGATCATTAGCGGACAAGTTCACGACTTTTTCGACCGTTTCGGGGCCTGTTCTGACCTGTTTCAGACGCCTAGTTCGGGATCATTTCTGCACCTGTACAGGACCGTTTGGGTGCTATTTCAGGATCGTTTCGCGACAAGTTCTGGACCATTTGAAATTAGCTCAAGACTATTTCAGCACCATTTCGGGACTGGTTTGAGCCCAATTCAGGACAGTTTTGAGACTAGTTAAGGATAATTTTGTGGCTTCTTTCAAAATATCCCGAGACTAGTTCGGGATAGTTCGAAAAAAGCCAAAATATGATCCTGAGACTGACGTATTCCCGAAGTGATTATGAAAAGTAGTGTATGGGTCCTGAGAACATGAATACAATAAATGAAATTAATGTTTAGTTTTTAGCCTAACCTAGTATTTATGTACATATGTAACCGAATCTCCTACTGCTTTGCCAAGCCATACGAGGTAAACCTACAGATGAATATTAAGCCGAATAGCAGGGCAGGTGCCTTAGAGGGATTTCCTTAGCCATTTTCTTTTTGTAACACGCATAAAATTTTTGTTTGTTTGTTTGTTACGGTGGATTAAGTGAAGTAGCTCAGGCACTCAGATTGTCACCCTAATCGAGCTGGTCACGATATTTTTGCTATTCCTGTAAATTCTGGCAGCCCTATTAAAAATATCTTGAAATTATGTTATTAATGTTATAAAACTTCATAAAACTTGTTAATAAAACCGGTTTGGAATTTCTAACAGAAAGCAATCCACTTCAAAGATACCTGCAGGGAAACCGCGGACTAGTGAATCAAATTTCTAGTTCCGTACTAGGTCCTTATCGCAAAAAAGGAACTAGTCCGATAGGAACTAGATCCCTACCACACTAAAATCGGCGAAAAGTGGTACTTTTAAAAAACTAATTTTTTCAGTTTTTTTCACTAGAAATCTATATCTAAAGTGACGAATTTAGAAATGGTTCGGAATTATTGAACAAGGGATGCAGCGGGGGCTTGTTTACTTAACATAGATATGTGTTCGGCGGCTTTTTCCTTCAAATACGCTTCTATTCTGTGCTTCGCAGATGCTTTTTCATAGTTTGGTAATACAAAACTAAAATTTGTGTTAACATTTCAACATATTAAGGCCGTCTGGAATCTAAGAAATAACAGCGAGTACCTCTGCAAACTCAGCTACAGCTAAAGGTATTTAAACGTACATTTCTTACAATCATTCAAACAAATTTAATTTCAAATTGAAAACACATTCCTTCCAAAATAATTTAAAATCGCACACACGGAAGAACCAAAATGACTGAAAAATCATGATACTTTTTTCTTTCGTCTGTCGATTTTAGAACTGGTTCGGAACTATAGAATTTAGGACTAGTTCGGAACTATCGAAAAAGGGATGCAGCGGGGGGAAATTGACACCTCCTAGGACATCGCCATGTTAAATTCGCCTGTTAGTTGCATGCAAAAGAGATTTATCGCGAACCAGTACTGGGTCTAAATGTACTAGAAGCGCACCAGTTCAGAACTAGACATTTTCCCCACATAGATATTTTAAAAGTAAAGCTTACTTAAACCTCTCTCGTTTTACCCTCATATTACAATATTTCCTTTAATGTGTTAACTAAATTGATTTTGAGCTCCTAAACAGGTTGCAGCCCTCTTAAAAGCCAATTTCCAAACTAAATTTTTGTTAAACCACTCTCGACTCTGCGAATTAAATCGATTTAACTTTTTGAGCAGTTGGCAACCCTCTTGAAATTTATATAATTTGGCGCTTACACATATGTTAGTGTTTGGCCGAGCTTCTCCTCCGATTTGTGGCGTGCGCCTTGATGTTGTCACACAAAGCGGAGGGACCTACAGTTTTACGCTGACTCCGAACGGCGATTGTATTTTTTGTGAGAAGCTGTTTGTCATGGCAGAAATACAGTCGGAGGTTTGCCATTGCCTGCCGAGGGCAATCTTGAAATTTATTTCCTTATAAAAATTGGTTTAAAAACCGTTTCATTGGCCCCCACGTTGTATAAATATTTTATTTCACCTATAAATTAATTGATTTTAACTTTTGAAAAAAGGTGGCAATACTCATATTTACAATACGAATATAAGTAGGATTTGGTATACTCACATCAACGCCATGCTCTGCATAGAAATCACCAGTGCCCATAGATGCATACAATTTATAACCCATTTTTGCAAGATCTCGAATTGAGGGCAGCAACTCCATTTTGTGCTGGAATAAAAAAAATTGATATTTATCAAAATGATTTTATAATTTCTATATCTCTGATCTAAACATACCTTAAAACTACCAATGGAGAGTAGTATCGCCTTTTTCGGTATCTGGAAGCCAGTAGACATCATGGCTTTCAAGTAAGCCTCATAACGATTGTCACCGAAACAGGCCACCTCACCGGTGGATGCCATTTCCACGCCCAACTGTACATCCGCGCCAGCCAGACGGGAAAAACTGAATTGAGGCACCTTCACACCGACTTTTCCCACGCCGTGCAACACTTCCACCGGCTCAACTGGTATGCCAATAATGGCGCGCGTCGCCGTCGCCACGAAATCGTGATCCAAAGTCTTCGATACAAATGGAAAAGAGCGCGAGACACGAACATTACATTCAATCACTTTCAGCTCATTATTCTTGGCAATCAATTGCATATTGAATGGGCCAGTGACATCGAGTAGAGCTGCCAGATCGCGTGTTATGCGCTTAATCGTTTCCAGTGTTTCGTGATTTAAATCCTGCGGTGGCGTTACCAAAGTGGCATCGCCCGAATGCACGCCAGCATTTTCCACATGCTCTGATACGGCCATGCAAAGGATTTCGCCATCAGTCGCCACAGCATCCACATCGATTTCTTTTGCTTCTGTGAGGAACTTCGAAATAACCACCGGGTGCTCTTTGCTAACCAATGATGCTGCATTCAAGTAAGTTTCTAGATCTTGATTCGAGTAGGCCACATTCATGGCGGCGCCTGAGAGCACATATGAAGGCCGCACCAGGCAAGGATAGCCGACTTCCTCGCAAAATTGTATGGCGCTCTTCAGGTTCGTCAATTCCTTCCAACGCGGTTGCAGTATACCCTTGCGGTCCAACATGCGCGAAAACTTGAAGCGATTCTCCGCGCTATCAATTGATTCCGGTGAAGTGCCAAGCACTTTGGCTTGCTGACGATGTAGGTCCATAGCGATATTGTTGGGCAATTGTCCGCCCATGGAGAGTATAATACCATCGGAATTCTCCATTTCGTATACATCCATAACTACTTCGAATGAAATCTCCTCGAAGTACAGACGATCGCACATATCGTAATCGGTGGATACAGTTTCGGGATTATAGTTTATCATTATGGTGGGTTTACCGAGCTTGCGCAACTCACGGAGACAGCCGACTGCACACCAGTCGAACTCCACCGACGAGCCAATGCGGTAGACGCCTGAACCAACTACGATCGTGAAATCGCCAAGGAAATCCAGATCGTGCGCATCTGCATTGTAGGTAAGGTAGAGATAATTGGTCGTAGCTGGCCATTCACCAGCCACCGTATCTATTTGCTTGACAAACGGTTTGATGCCCAATTCTTGGCGTTGTTTGCGCACCGCCAATTCGGTGCTCTTGATGGCCGCAGCTATTTGTTTGTCGGAAAATCCGATTTGCTTTGCCTGTAGAATTTGCGCCACTGAAAGCGTATTCCCAGTTTTTTCCAAATTACTGTGAAACTCTATGATGCGCTTCATCTTGTTGAGAAACCATCTGTCAATCTTAGTGAGCTGATGCAACTCTTCAACGCCATAATTTGCCTTCAGCGCAGCGGCCAACACAAATGGTCGTTTGTCGGTGGGCTCTGTTAGCTCTTCTTTACGCAATGGATGCTGATCAGGATCAAAACCATTAACGCCACTATCCACCATGCGCAAAGCTTTCTGGAAAGCCTCCTCAAAGTTGCGGCCAATAGCCATTACCTCGCCCACGCTCTTCATCGAGCTACCGATATTCTTGCTTACGCGTACGAATTTCGCCAAATCCCACCTTGGTATCTTAACCACACAGTAATCCAAGCTCGGCTCGAAGCAGGCGGTAGTCACACCAGTAACCGAATTCTTGATAGAGGGCAGCGAAACGCCCAGCGCCAATTTAGCCGCAACATATGCCAGCGGGTAGCCAGTAGCCTTACTAGCTAAGGCGGAGCTACGTGACAGACGCGCATTTACCTCGATAATGTAGTACTCCTCCGAGTGTGGATTGAGCGCGTATTGTATGTTACACTCACCGACAACGCCAAAGTGGCGTATCACTTTTAGAGCAGTGCTGCGCAGCATGTTGTACTCTTTGTTGGAGAGCGTCTGCGATGGCGCCACCACAATACTTTCGCCAGTGTGTATGCCCAAAGGATCGAGATTTTCCATATTACAAACAGTTATGCAATTGTCGAAAGCGTCGCGCACTACTTCATACTCCACCTCTTTCCAGCCTTTGAGCGACTTGTCAATAACCAACTGACTGGAGTGTGCCAATGCTTGATGAGCTAGTGTCTCTAGTTCGCGTTCGTTGTCTGCAAAACCTGAACCTAAACCACCCAAGGAGAATGCCGCACGCGCCATTACAGGATAACCTAAACGCTTTGCCGCCTCTAGCGCCTCCTCCACGGAGTATACAGCCTCGGACGGTGCTACGCATTCGCCGATTTCAGCCACGCGTTCTGCAAAAATTTTGCGATCTTCAGTTTCGATAATGGATTGTATCGGGGTGCCAAGTATTTGGACATTGTACTTATCGAAGACACCAGCGCGTTCCAATTCCACGCCGCAATTGAGCGCGGTCTGACCGCCGAATGTAAGCAGAACGCCGTTGGGACGCTCTGCTTGTATGACTTGTTTGACATATTCGGGAGTTAGCGGTAGAAAGTAGCATTTGTCGGCCAGTCCCTTTGAAGTCTGCACGGTGGCGATGTTGGGATTTATCAGGACAGTTTGGATTTTCTCCTCTTTCATTGCCTTGATTGCTTGCGCGCCCGAGTAGTCGAATTCGCCCGCCTGACCAATGGACAAGCCGCCAGAGCCTAAAATTAGCACCTTGCGCGGACGCTTGTCGGGAATGTTATTCAATCGAGGTCGGAAAGTCAGACGATCGATCAAATTTTGACGCAAGCTCAACGCCGCGGGTGTATTTTGTTGGTTTACCGCATCAAGGAAGACATCGAAAAGCAATTCCAAGTCTTCCGGACCAGCAGTGTGCTCTGGATGAAATTGCACCGAGAAGTATGGTTTGCTTGTGTGGATAATACCTGAAAATTTATGAAATTTAAATATACGCTAAAATTAAAGCTTATTGTTTGACCGTACCTTCGTTGGTGTTATCGTTGGCATTCGTAAAGAGCGGCTCCCACTCAACAGGCAAAGTCTCGCTATCCACTGCAAAGCCGTGATTTTGTGAAGTCATGAAGCAGCGCCCGGTGCCGTGGTGTACGCATGGCAGATTGTGTCCGCGATTACCATATTTCATTTTATAGGTATTGCATCCGATAGCTGTTGCGAGCAACTGATGACCCAAGCAAATGCCAAATATGGGTTTCTTTCCATTTTTCAGCACCTTTTGTATCTGCATAACAGTATCCTTACACATGACCGGGTCACCAGGACCATTACTAATAAATAGCCCATCGAACTCCTCCTCTTTCAGCGCATAATTCCATGGCACCAAGTCTACACGCGCACCGCGTGCCACAAAACATTTAATCTGATTCAGTTTTAAACCACAATCGATCGCACAAATCCGTGGCGTGCCAGAGGCATTAAAGACGCGCGGCTCCTTAACCGAACACTCAGCAACCAGATTGCGCAAGTTCGGATCGGCGAAGGTTAGTATTTGCACATTAGCTGCTGGCAACTCATAGACAATGCGCCCCAGTATGGACCCATTTTCGCGTATCTTTTTCGTAAGTGCGCGTGTATCAATGCCACTTATGCCCGGCACCCCGTAACCTTCCATCCAACGCGAAAGCGTCTGGCGCGTCCGCCAATGTGAGGGTGCTTCACACACTTCACCCACCACCAAAGCAGCCACTGTAATGCCCTCAAACCATTCGAAGTTCACCGGCAAGCCATGTTCGTCGAGTTCCTTCTCATCTGGCACGCCGTAATTACCGATCAACGGATAAGTGAGTACAAGTATTTGTGCGCGATATGAGCGATCAGTCATCGATTCGGGATAACCGACCATGCCGGTTTGGAAGACAACCTCACCATCGACGGGTGTTTTAGAGCCAAAAGCGCGACCCGGCAGTATAGTGTTGTCTTGTAAGACCAAATAGCAATTTGGTGATTCCATTGCGCGGTAAATAACTGTAGAGCTGTAAAAGAAGAGTACACTCTTTTGTAGTGCTTATTAGCATTTGAAGCGAAAGAATATGGGAACAATTTAGAAATGTTTAAATCGCTAAAGTTGATTTCGACCGCTGCTTTCAAATCCATTTTCCCGATAAAAATTATTGGGAACTTAATATCGTTTTAGACGTTGATGAGATCCCAAGCCAAAATTGACATTGCAACCGGTTCTGAGGTTATATCTTAGAAGATATTTTAGGCTGAGAGATATTTTAGGCTGAGACACATGGACCCAGCCCCATTTAAACCTGCCTTCGTTGTTAAAAATTTCAGCTGTTATCAAGACCCTGTTTTCGTAAAGGAGTCTAACGATATGCGTTCAGAAATTTTGAAGATTCCTTCACTAGGTCCCGGGTGCACTGCCATTCTGGAAAATAAGGACGCGGGCGATCGCGCTAGAAAGCGATTTGGGATACGATAAGGGTTAGCGATTATAAGCATACACCTTCCTCTGCACTTCCTATAATAACGAATTCAGCATATCGTCGACATTCGGCTGCTCCCCGGAGTAACAGCGGGCAAACTCGACCATTGAACACATGGCCGCCAGCTTTGGAGCCCGATCTCTCCAGAAGAGCTGTAGAGATGTGGAACAGATAGAATCCACTGAGAACTTCCTTTGCGAGTATCCCGTACTCCAAAGAAGATTCCGCAAATTTCTGTGCTTCTTCGATGCCTCTGAAGATTAAAGACAGGTAGGGGCAGGTGTGGGGAGTGAAAGCTTTAACCAGGGCTGATCGGCAGACCCAACTTAAATCATTGCAAATCATACATTTATAAATAAAATAAAACAGATTAAAATTGCTTAAATAAAAATAAAATAAAACAAAACATAATGAATTGAATACGAAAAAAATTAAATGAAATTAAATTGAAAAATTATAAAAAATAAAATAAAATAAAATAAAATAAAATAAAATAAAATAAAATAAAAT